TATTATTATTATTATTATTATTATTATTATTATTATTATTATTATTATTATTATTATTATTATTCGCCTCTCTTTTTTCACACTTTGTAGAGGCTAAACAAATTCAGTTCCCTGGTCCTCACTGACCCTAATTTAGTTTTAAAATAATCACCGTTTCCCATATAATCCACTGCACATATTATATAAGCCAACACATGCACGTATTAAACAGTCCAATGCTAGCACCATGCAAGTGAATACAAATGCTATACAAATCAGTACAAATCCTACACAAAGCATGTGGAAGACAACGTATGTAATAAACTTATAAGCCGTGCACATAAACAATCATTTTCATAAAACTGCTATGGTATTATACGTAAAAATTTTGCACAGTACCTATATTTTTAGACTTCAGCTTACTTCTGCGCGAAAAAAGACGCATCACGTATTTCTGCAGTGTGAGGCTATTATTAGTTTTTAAATCGCCGTTGGCTTTCCCTACTAATTGTTCCTAAAATAGCTGCTTTCCATTACAATAAGAACAGTTATTTTCACTACCTCGAAATTAAACTTCCGTAATATTTGCTAGCTTGTTGCTTGTAATCTTTGACCCTACTTGATTAATGTATTAGTAACCACTGCCGAAGAAGATAGCAACCTTACAAACGTTTCGGTCAAGACAGCAAACTTCTCGAATGTAAGAATAACTTTCTCCAAATTCTGCTCCCCTTGTAAGCCATCGATGATAAATGTGCATGTTGTATTCGCTGGATACATCAATGGGTACTAAAAACACTATGCGCACGTCAGTGAGTCTGTATGAAAAATGTGGAAAAAAATTGCCTGTCTAGTTTTAAAGTGTAACAAATTCAGATGAGGTGAAAAACTGCAAGAAGCGACGAAAACTGAGGCACACGATGCTTACAATTTAGCCAGAAAACTCAACTTTCGCAGGAAATGTCATAATTACGATGAAAGTATCAAATTTCAAGAGTGGCGTACTTTTCAATTTATGGTACTTCGATTTACCGCACTGTATTATACCTACGCATACAGTGTATCAGAACACACACACATATATTTCGCGTACCTTCGGTGATTGGATGAAGTGTGTTGTTTCCCTATTACTTTCCACTCGTAGGTCGCACTCGGAACCACGTAAGTGGGTTATCCCTTTTTGGTTTCCCATTAGTTCCAGCACATCAACATACTCATTTGAGAATTCGTAGTCTATTGCATACCTGTAAGAAAAATTCCAGTCACGAAATCAATGTTTTTGAAGTACAAGAAGTCAAGATAAAAAAAAATTTCCGCAAGGACAAGAGCAGTATAAAAATTACCCGCGTGGATCAGCTTTGCTTGGACTGGTGGTATTGAATTCAATGAAGGCATTCGTCCCGAACGAGTAAATCTCCAGCCGTTGTTGTAAGCCACATACCTTACGAATAATTGGATAACTATTGGTCGGGCCGTCGTAGACTGTCAACGAATCGTATGGACAGCTAGAGTGATAATAACAGTGTTTAAGTGACTAACAAAAATGACCGGTCTAATATTAAGAATACTAAGAGTGATCGGATTATCAGTGTGGGCATCCCCTGTTAGTGATTTTATCGAACTGCTCCCACACGCTGAGTGCAGCTATACCACGCCCTTCAATCCTGGACTGCATACCTCCAATTAGTATCCACTGCATGTCCAATGTCCGCCACAACCTCGAAGACTGCCTCGAGTGGTCGTTTATTTTCTCATGAGTAATAATTATTAAAAAATCACTTTGGAAGAAATTAAAAGTGATATCATAACAACATTAGTGATAATGCTCATTACAGCAGTATTACATAATTATGACTACAGTAGTAATGCCAACTTCAGGCCCCGAATACAGTGTCCCACTTGAGCGCATAAAGCGGAAAGATGCAAAAACAGTAAGCAAATGTAATGGGAATTCCTTTTATTCAAGATTCTAACTGAAAAATAGCTAGCTGTCTTTCTC